GAACAAAGTGCTCCAGATGAGTCTGAACAGACAAGCACCTGAATCTACAAGCAAGTGAAATGATTATTTGGGAGGGATGGAATGGGGGAGAAAAGACTAGGACAAGGATGGTGATTGCTGCATTGACTGCAAATTAATGATCTCCATGATCACAAAATTGATTGCCTAAAATAGAAATGACATCAGATTTAAACAGTTAAGTGCTTAAAGCCTCTGTGCTCCTCATGCCGACATTCCACTTCTGCACATTTACAGCATCTTAAGTAAGTGCAAATGTATCACTTCCCAGCAGAGTACACACTCTGTGCTTTTCAGGGACCGCACTGGCTAAAGAGTTACCCTGCTCTTCTAACTAACAGACATGAGGAAAAGAGGCAAGCTACAGACACTCCTGCTCTCAGCACTGAAGCTCCTTTACTTAAAAACTGCCTTCACCTCAGGTGAGAAAGGTAAAAATAAATTACAAAGATTACACGGCAATCAGCACTGCAAAATAAAAGGCTAGATGAAAATGTATTAGACCAATTTTCCACTGACCCCTGTTTTCATTTGCATGTCACAGGTGGGCTAAAAACTGCTTGGACTGATGGTCTCAAAAGGTAGTGATCAATGTGCAGAACACTGGGCAACAGTCCATCTGATAGCTGTGAACAAATGGGGTACCCTGGGGTCTTTACTGGGAATAATTGTTTCATGTCTCCTTCACTAACAGGGATGTTAATATCGAATGCACTGTCCACAAATTTGTAGATTGCAGTAAGTTGAGGGGGTGAATAGTGGACATACTAAACAGCAGAGATTTGATCCAGAGGGACATTGGTAGACATGAGTATTGGGCCAAGAGAAAACATATGAAGGTGAACAAGAAGTACAAAGGTCTTTGCATGGGTGGAATAGCCCCATTCATCAGTACACAACAGGCACCCACTGCCTGAGTAGCAGCTTTGCTGAAAAGGACAGTAAAGGGGTTATGCTGAATGACAACCTGAATATAAACCAAAAGTGCACTATCACTGCAAATGGGGGAAAGGAGGTACTCAGGGGCATTAGGAGAAGCACAGCTGACAGACTGAAGTAGGGTACTATCCCCCGCTATTTGGCATGGGTGAGGCTGTGCCCAGAACAGCGCTCAACTTTGGGCCCTCAGAGTCAAAGAGGGGTGTGGAGAAACTGAAGATGGTTCACCAAAGGGCTGTCATGATGGGCAGGAACTTACGTTACATACCCAAGCCACAGTCTGCGACTACTGCTTCTTGTTATGTTCTCTGGCACTACCAAGAGGAGCTTGGCCCTATAACCTTTGTACCTTCTCTTTCATTAGTTATTAGATTAGATTCATCTGCTATTAGGTCACCCCTTAGCCCCCTCTTCAACAGTCTTTACCAGTCCGGCTCCCTCTGCCTCTCCTGTAGTGCATGTAACCTAGTCTTGGGGGATTCAGATTAGCAAAAAGTTTTTAACTAGGAAAGCAATGCAGAACAGGAACAGGTTATCCAAGGAGGCTGTGGGGTCTCCATTCTTGGAAGTTTTCAAGACTTGGCTACACAAAGCCACAGGTGATCTGTTCCAATATTGGTCGCAATCCCATTCAGAGCAGAAGCTGGATGAGATGACTTCCAGAAGTCCGATCCAAACAACATTTCTATGAGTCTGAATAAAAGCTTGACTAAACAATTTATTGTTGATTGACTAAGACCCCCTACTGATTCATTACTTCTTTGAACTTGTTTGTACAAACACAAAAAATAGTTTATTTGGTCTACAATCATATTTTTTTTCTCTGAAGTAACATTACACATAGACATCTCAAGTTCTGTATTGCAGAACTAGTGACCTTCTACCATGTGGATTTTCTTTTCTATCTGTGACAGACATCACCTTTACTTCATCCAAAACCAGTGCCAGTCTTCCTCTCTATCCCTGTGTATCCTAGTGTAGCATCTGAAGTTTATGATAGTCAGGTCTGTATTGATATGTCTCTTCATGCTTGTATTGGACTTTTTGGAAAATAAAACAATACGTTCAAGGACCAACCTAAAAAAACTACCAGTCCAAATACAGGAACAAAGAAGTGTCTTCATATTGCTCATATGCTAATTTACTGGAGCTAGAAAAAATCAAAGAAATGTTTCTTCCAATGATACTTGTGGGTAGGATGGAAAAGCACATGGCATTACTTGAACCATTTTTGGTGGGTATTTTGAGTGTTAGGCGGAATTTGCCTTTGCTGTAATATAGAGATATGATGCAGGCTAAAATGTCATAGAAGCTTCCAAAGTTTGATTGCCTGCCTCCTTTTATGCTTCAAGATCAGCATGCTAAAATACACTATAATATTTTTACTGTCTTATGGACTTGAGGTTTTGAACACACTGAAAAACTGGATCTGAGCACATGTATCAAAAACTTCTTTCAATTATGCTTGTGCATGTAAATGCAGCGGCACCCTTTGTACAGTACGGGCACATTCGCACAACTCTGAGGGATTGATTAAGTATTAATCTGCTGCTTTGGCTCCTCCTTCTACCCAGCTTCTCAAAACTCCTCCTCTGTTTCCACTGACAGCCACTGAAGTGGTAAATATCACCTCTGTGCTTGAGCAAGGTGGGCATGGGATTCAGAGAGATCTCAGACTGTGCATTTCAGCAGGGAAGTTACCTGGGCTAACTCTACCTTTCTTTTCCTCCCACAGTGGTCCTAACCAGCCTGCTCACGACTTTGCCTGCCTTCCTGTATCACTATTGGGATTTTTTCTGCTTATTATTGATTCCAGCGAATGCTTTCTTCCGACTTTCAAAAGCAACTGTCAGAGAATAATTCAGCTCTTCAAAATGTTGTGAGGTGGAGATGGCTGTAACCCTGCCTGGAGGGTGGGCATTGGGGGTAGCTGGAAACAGACCATAGGACATGAGGGAATTGTGTAGCAGGAAGTCTTAAAATGGACATTTTTAAAGGCAGGTCTAAATAATATTTTTTGTCATATGAATCCTCATTATGTTAAAAGGGGAGGTTACTATCAAATCTTTGTTGATGTTTTATTTATCTTAAGATCTGGACCTCATATTAGTATATCACTTTTATCAGTTTATAGTTTTCTGCAGCCATGGTTGTTTTTCCATGCTGCTGAAAAGCTTGCCAGCCACCACTTTTGAAAGAAGTATTAGCTCAGCTTTGGTTTTTAAAACTTAAGGAACAGTTTAGGCAACGTGTATGAGGCAATACTCCTGTTATAAAGGACTAAAAAAATTGAAATTTTGACATATTTTCAGGCATGAGACAGCTAGGATCCTTTCAACGATTTTAATATCATATGGTTTGGTTCTTGTTAACCGGGAGCCAGAGGCATGTATGTGTCTTCTACTGTAGAAGTATTTAGACGCATATACATCTTCTCTCATTCAAAAAAGTGCTCATATAACTTGTTTTACCTTCTAGTCAGAGCAGGCTAATGGTACATCACCTCTTCAGTGCCTCCACTGAGTTGCTAAGCTACCATAAGTCTACTGCTTCCAGTCATGTACCCAATATGAATGGCTAACACACCAAAACAACCTCACCCCAAGAATGCAGAGCGTAAGTAGAAATTTTGAGGTGAGTGATAGCTGTGGGTGGGCGAGAAATGTCCTTTTCTTTCCTTTGTTAGAAAGAATGGTGCATTTTTATGACCACGACCAGAGAAAAATCAAGCATGGAGCATTGCCTGGATAGCTTCTGGGTGAAGAGGGATACTAAATGGAATGATCAATGGGGATGAGAACAGAGATAATGTGCAGAGAAAGGGAGGAGCTGGAAGAGGGACAGACAGACAGCTGGAGCAAATGGGGCAGTAACCTCTGGAGGTAGCTTCTCTCTACTCTTGCCAGCCTCTCCTACTCTAGCTCCACCCTGCAGGTGAAGGGGAGAGTTCCCTGTGCTGTGGGCACTTCCAGCATGGAGGTGGGTGATGAAGGAAGGGATGCTGAGTGGCTGCTTCCCTGGGATAACTTGAAGATTACACATTTCTGGCTGCAAGTGTAGAAAAATACCTTCTCTGGGGAGATGCTGCTCTCTCACATCAGTCTTTATATATATTTTTTCATTGCTCTAGCATTGTAGCTACGTCCTTAAGGGTTAGGTATGCAAGTCCTGTCTGTGGCAGGAGTTAGTGTATACCAGCCCAGGGATCAGTAACTAGATAATAAATCTTTTTGAATCCTGGATTGTATTATGTCTTGATAGGAAAGTAAATCTCACCCTCTCAGCAGCAAGCTATTATTTCATTGCAAGGATGCTGCAGGTGAATGATGTTTTCCAAACTGATAAATGTGGGATTTCATATGCCGCAAGTTATTTTGTTTATCTTGGGTGTTTATGTTTCAATTTTATGAAGCAACCTGCCTGGGGAAAGGCCCAGAAATAATTGGCTGAGGATTTTCTTCTGATACAGGTCTTTATAACCATAGTTGTATAGCAAATGCAAATGTGAAAATAAAATCATGCTTCACCCTGGTGCTGGGATGCTGAATACAGATAGTTATGCTTCCACACGCATGCTGTATTTCAGTATCTCTTCATAGCTGTTCAATTTAAAACCGGCTAATGCACAGAAGATGAACAATTTTTGAGAGTTTGAGTCTGAAAAATAAAAAGCCATCAGTTCAGCTACAGGAATTCTGTAAGACTTCTAATACAGTTCCGTAAAATTGCTAATTTAAAATCAATGATAAATACTATTCTGAGAAGTTAAAGAAGGGAAACAAATCTCTGCTAGCCCATCTGCTTTCCTATAGCTGCGGGCAGCTCGTGCTGCATCTGAATCTACTGTGCCGTGCGATGTTTCAGAGAGACTCAGAATCAGCAGCCCCTCGACTTTCTGCGGCTCCCGAGCCCCATTGGCTGGAAGGCAAAGCAGAGGCGGAGAGTGCCCCGAATATTTTTCTCCTCCACACACCATAAAACAGGCAGCCGGCATGCACTGCCTGACAGCGAGACCGGTACTTGCAGTTTGAAATTAGTTTCTGCTCTGCAGCAGTCACTTGGGCATTTCATGTTTGCCTCTCTTGATGGACGGGAACAAAAAAGCCTTGCAGCATACCAGTGAACTGAACCGGAGCTGACCATAGGGGAGAATTTGATGCAAACTTACAGACTGTTGGGACCCTGTGACATAGATCACCGAGGTAAACGTGTTGATGATCAGAAACTGCATCTATGAGAGAGTAAACCAGCATTGCTGAGTTTGAAACCGTATTTTGTAACAGCAGTCAACGTGTTCTGAACTGTTGCCTGCCTCGGTGCTGGCTTATTTTTCTTTTTTTTCCAAGCTGAAAAGCCAGAGAAGGTTTTCAAAGGAATGCAAAAGCAACAGGAGTTTTAAAAGCAGGAAGCTGAAAGGGGCTCTCCATAAGATGAATTTCACCCAGCACCGTGGGACCCTCCAGCCTCTCCATTTCTGGAACCACAGCTATGGACTGCACGGAGGTGCCAGCGAGCCCAACGCGAAGGGCCACTCCTCGGGAGGCTGCTACGAGCAACTCTTTGTATCCCCTGAAGTGTTTGTGACTCTGGGCATCATCAGCTTGCTGGAGAATGTCTTGGTCATTGTGGCAATAGCCAAGAACAAGAACCTCCATTCTCCCATGTACTTCTTCATCTGTAGCTTGGCAGTGGCTGACATGCTAGTGAGCGTATCTAATGGATCAGAAACTATTGTCATCACGCTGCTAAACAATACAGACACAGACGCACAGAGCTTTACCATAAACATTGACAATGTCATTGACTCAGTGATTTGCAGTTCCTTGCTTGCATCAATTTGCAGTCTCCTCTCAATAGCAGTGGACAGGTACTTTACTATCTTTTATGCCCTCCAGTACCATAATATCATGACGGCGAAGCGCGTAGGGGTCATCATCACATGCATCTGGGCTGCCTGCACAGTCTCAGGCATTTTGTTCATCATTTACTCTGACAGCAGTGTTGTCATCATCTGCCTTATTAGCATGTTCTTCACTATGCTTATTCTCATGGCATCCCTCTATGTCCACATGTTCATGATGGCTCGGATGCATATCAAAAAGATTGCTGTTCTTCCAGGGAGTGGCCCTATTCGCCAAGGGGCCAACATGAAAGGGGCCATCACTCTCACCATCCTGATTGGAGTTTTTGTTGTGTGCTGGGCTCCATTTTTCCTGCACCTGATTTTCTACATCTCCTGCCCCTACAACCCTTACTGTGTGTGTTTCATGTCCCACTTTAACTTCTACCTCATCCTCATCATGTGCAATTCCATCATCGATCCACTTATCTATGCATTCCGGAGTCAGGAGCTCAGGAAAACATTCAAGGAGATTATATGCTGCTGTAGCCTGCGAGGGCTTTGTGATTTGCCTGGCAAATATTAAACGGAGTGGATACGTTACTGTGTACACACCATGCAGCACAGACTTCCAAGCCTTCAGATCCTCTTTCTCAGCAGAATTTTGTTTAAACCTTTACGAGTGAGCACCTCTTTCTGTCTCCTTTGATCCTTTTATCCCGTTCAAATGTAATTCATATTCCTGTATAATGTTTGTGATATCTACAGTTTGTAATTTATTTGGCTGGAGAGAAGTAGCACTTCATACCAGTTTGTAAGTAAGCAAATAAATGTAATGATGAATGTGAAATGCTAACAAACATGAGCACCTGTATGTTCCAACTGCTGGCAAAATAAATAACTTGCCTGACTTACAGTACATAGTGGCTGATACTGTTGCTTATTGTGATTAAGTAATTATAACTATCCATTACCTTATATACAGCTTAAAATAAAGCACATGCTTCTCTATTAGTAGATTAGAGGTTCTCTGGAATTAGAAAGCAGATTTTTCATAAAGGTTGCTGTAACCAATGAGTTGTATTCATTCATTCTGAACTCTCTTCCTCCTACTACACAAGCAGCAATTCTGTTCTTTGTTACAGTTATTGCCTACAGCAACAAGATTTTTCTGCTACGCAGACAATCACGTTTGGGTTTGTGGTTGGTTTTTTTTTTTTAATTTTTCCAAGTTGATGATTGCTGTATGTCTGAGAGTACCTTTTTACAAAGTTGAAATTGCTCCCTGGGGCATCAGTTAGCCCTGGATGTATTTGCTAGACTGGTATCCAGGTAGACTAGCACCTTCTCTTCAGCCATGAAGCAAGTACAGTATCAACATTGACAGTGCCAGCACCAAGTAAAGATTCACTGAGAGATTTATCTAATGAAGACAAAGAGGGAGCTTCAGTTTGAACATTCAGTCCTTCCTTGCTCTGAGGTGCTGTGGGGAACAAGGACTCTGTGCGTCAAAAGAAAATACATCTTTGTTAGAAACGAGCTTCCCTCTATTCTCAAGTGTGGTGTTAGCAGGTGGGATCCACTGCCAGGATCCTTACAGAGGAGTCAAAGCACGTGTTAGTTCGGTCTCAGCACCTCAGACCATGCTGTGGAGCACATGAGCTTTGGAAGGAACGCTGGCCGACGAGCCCTGTACACCCATGCTCTGTATCTGGCAGCCCTGTGTGTTACTGCTGCTTGAAGTCAGTTCACCTTTTCAGGCACCTAACTGATGTGTTCTCAGTTTCAAGCTAAAATGCCACTCTCTCTCCACAGACTGTAACAGGGACCTCAGGTCCCTGATTTTAGCAGTTTTGGAGGTGATTGAAATATAAATGTGAGTACACAGGATTCCATGAAGATGTCCCTTAACACCTCAACAGTATCAGCTGATCTTTCAGCTGTGGGTAACTTTTCAGGATATTGTAAAACTGTGACAACATTTGGTCCTCTGTCAAAGAACATGAAGAATTTAAGGTGGGTCCCAGTATCTTTAACTTCAGTATACTTACAGGGAGAATAAGTCATTTGACTTTATGCATCAAAGTCCCTTGGTAGGCCAGCAGCAGAGAAATCAGTTCTGCTACACCCTACTCTTGCACTTGGGCCACTCCATCCACTACACTGCTTGAAACACCCCTGTTACCTTCTCTCAGCTTTAGTAAATTATATTGCCACATAACAATAGTTGCAGTGTGGAAAATATTGAAATATATCTACTACATTAACTCTACTTATTTTCTTTTGGAGGAAACTATAAACATTTCAATAATACATCCCTACCTGGTTCCAGTAGGTAGAGAATAAAAAATGTCAAAGAAGGAGGAGTAAAGCTCAAGGGGAGAAAAAAAAAGAATGTATTTAAATTAATAGTCTACCAAAAAATCCAATGGACTCTATTAAAGGCCTTCCTCTCTCCCACAAGAAATGATGCTAGCTATGCAAAAATGCTCTGGCAATAATGCAAAAAATTGCTAGTGCCAGTTTGAACAAGGCACAAATCTCACTTGATCTTTGTTTTGCCTCGCTTTCTTTAGCTATTTTGGGCCTGTAAATTATGATAGTGGGATCCAGATATTCCCTTTGTAGTCCATGGATGCAGAGAGGGTCTGATGGAAAGTGGCACAAGAGCAAGATACTACCTTAGGTGTTCTGAACATTATGTTGAAAGTCCCTCTTTCTCCCATTAAGGCTGTACGAGGACCAGACACCTAATTTAAACACATCTGAATTCTGAAGAGGCTGTGCTTCTGTAAATTACTTCCCGAACTCCCAGTTGATTCTTAAAACTAACAGTCTTACTTTTTTTTTTTTTGTAACCCAAGTGAAACAGAAATAACAATTAATTTGTATTGATGGTTTTCCTGTAGTTTCCAAAATCAGTGTGTATCTTTTGCACTTATTTGGACTAAGACTAGTCAATACAGTTGTGACCCCATTAAGCTCTTTTTTTAATTTAGAAATCTAATTTTTAAAACTATCTTATTCCAGAGTTTTAGCAAGTCTGAGCCTGTTTAGCAGCTCTCTGTGTTTATTTTATAAAGCTAAGTGTATATACATACCTTTTTAAATGGAGTTCTTAATTAAATAGGACTTTTTCATTTCATGGTATTATCTTTTAGAGTGTAATTTATTGAAATTGCTGGCAAACCTCCTACATAGATAATTATCCTATTCCCAGATACTCTGTTCCTTCCAAATAGCTGAATCAGTTTCTGTTTCCCTATAGCTCTGGCATTTTTCCAGCCGAGATACATAGAAATTAGTGTTGTGAAAAAATAAGTAAGTTCATCTAGCTTGCTGGAGAGTGGGGATGGTGAAGGATTATTTTCCACACTCGATTTGCTGGAGCTTTGTTCTTCTATTTGAAAATCTTCTAAGAAAATGAGATTTCTTTCTTTAAATATCTGGGACCCTAATCACTTTAGCATTTAGCATTTTAGTCATGTTATGTAACCATGGCACGTTCCTCTGTGGCAAGGAAATGGTTTTGCCTCCACTTTACAGTTGTAAGGATTTACATTTTCACTTCTGCTGGCGAAAACAGGCTAATGGATTTGCTCAGCCTCCTAGAAGTCAGTCTTTGCTTAAACTGGGAATTGATGGTAATGTTCTCCACCCTTTCCCAATAACTGGCTGCAATATAACACACAAAACTTTTGAAGCAAATGTCTTTCTTCAGGAGGGGCATTTCTTTAGCTTTGAAGTAGTTTTTGAACAAAACAAAGGACTCCAAAAAACAGTTAAGAGGCTGTAGTTGGTCTCAGTGGAGTGGATTTTGAATGATCGAAGATCCCCTTTACAACTGAAAGATGCTGCCATCTGGAAGCAAGGAGAAATGAACTGACGGACTCACATGTTATTGAATGTGCAGCAGCAACGGTGCCTTCAGTTATGCCTCTAATAGATGTGCAGAGTACACGTTATTGATGTAATTCTAGGATGACTTTGTTACTGTTAAACTGATCCTATTACACAACATGGTCACTGGGGGCTCCTTCATTCTGAAGCTGAATTCTGGTGAAGAAGAACTTTGGCCCTGATGTTATTTATAATATACTTATAGGCTTGAATAAAAATTGCAGTCTCAATCCCACTGGAAGGAGCTTTCAAAAAATGTACCTTTAGGGATGAAAACTTCATTGCTGCTCCAGAAATTACTTCATATTTTAAACTAATATTCTGATCCCTTCAATCATATCTCAAGTATCCTAGGGTTTTCTCTTTGGATGAAATACTTCTCTCACATATTAAAAAAAGGAGACTTCACACGTCATAGGAACTGTCTACTGCTACTACAGATACTGTCATGTAAGCCAGGTCATACATTGATCCTGCTTGCCTTTTTTTGTTTCAAATGGTTCTGTTGTCCTAGCCATTTCTCATATTTTTGCCCATTCTGTTCATAGAAGAAATTTTCAGATTTGTGGATTAAAAATCACCCCATTCGAGTTTGTAATGTAAATGTATTCATCAATTCTGCTTTTACCCATTTGTTCCCTTGAAAACTTTGTTCATTTGTTTCAGTTGTTCCCCTTCACACTTGGTGTATTTCCGTATTTGTCTATTTCACAGAATCACAGAATCACTAAGGTTGGAAAGGACCTTCAAGATCATCAAGTCCAACCATTAACCCAACACCACCATGCCTACTAAACCATGTCCTGAAGTGCCACATCCACACATTTTTTGAATACTTCCAGTGATGGTGACTCCACCACCTCCCTGGGCAGCCTGTTCCAGTGCTTGACCACTCTCTTCATAAAGAAATTTCTGGACCGCCATCAGTCTGAGCCCTCCGAGTCATCTCCTGCCTGTGTGGTGGGTTTTGCCTCTGGCCAACAACAAACCCCCCATCCAGCTGCTTGCTTGCTCCCCACCTCTGTGGGATGAGGGGAAAAAACAGGAATGAGAAAGCATGCAGGTCTCAACAAAGACAGGGGTATCACTTACCAACTACCATCACAGGTGAAACTGATGTGATTTGGGGATAAGGAACTTAATTTATGGCCAATTAAAATAAATATTTACTTATCGATTCAACTAGTGGGAAACAAAAAGACAAACACTAAAATAACAACTTTCCCCCACATCGCTTCTCCCCAGCTTCAACTTCATTTTCATCCTGGACTTTTCTATGTCCTCCCCCCAAGCGGCTCAGGGGATGGGGAACGCGGGGGCTGCGGTCAGTCCATAGCAGCTCCTC